CAGAGAAACCATTTGCCAGACTTCATTGACGTGTTAATCTCTATTCCAAATTACAGTTGAGAAGTACAACCAAACTGCGACGGAAATGGCTTTTTTGATGTATAAATACGAGTATACAATGCCAGGCAATCATAAGCGAGGGATTGAGAAGCTAAGCCACATCAATAATAAATCCAAATCTATCTCATCTTTGCATATTTGTCTTGAAAAAAAGTGAGAAGGACAAGATGGACAGGACGAATTCGATAAAGTAAAGCAAAATGAAGCTAAATCCACCGTAAGTCAACTGCATCCGACCTGGTAGAAAATCTATAACAGAATTTCAACGAGAGTGTGTTTTAAAAAAAAAAAAAAAAAAAAACACTGGCACGACACCGTATAACGTGCCAAAAATCGTACGTTTATCATTAACCCCTCATGAAACTTTTATAGAGCCATATTTGACGCATTGGAAAATTCCAAACGGATAATTTGGGCTTTGGAATTCGTCGTCCTTTCAATGTTATCGGAAGCTCGGTTAGAATGGGTCTCGTGAATTTGGAGAGCTCGGTTGGAGGTTTGCTGGTCAAAGGTTGGATCACCGATGGTTTGGGGGCTGATAGCGCGTAAATATTGCGCCATATGTATCCATCTAAGATTAATCAAACTGGATAGATTTTGGATATTATTGGGTAACTTCTTTACTAGACTACGCGTTAAATTGATTGAAAAAAATCCGAGTAAATATGCGTCTTCATTACAGTGTAATTGCATTTATGTATTTCATACTACGTTTTCCGGTGCTGTTTGACTTCGTAGCTCCTTCAATCAACCCGAATATCCGCTTATCTATCGACCTCTGATTAAGATTTTTTCTTTCTACCCTGTAAACAAGCAATAACTTGACATATGAACGTCTGTTTTCACGGTAATCGCCATAGTGCCACTAATCGGATGTGCTTTGATTCCAAAATGTGCGGTTGACTTTTTGAGCACTGACAATGAACCTCGGGCATCAAACACGGTGCCAGGTAATGACCTGGCACATATAAGTACGCCTACAATATCGAAGTAATGGCGGAGATTTGAGCATCAATGGTGTGAATAAATCAAAATAATGGAACGCTAAGGTCGGAATTAGATTGATGGTCATTGGATGATCAAAACGATATCGTGAGAGCCATTCAATACATTCTGCTTGAAATTATGGTTCTTTAAGAAACTGGTCTATTTGAATTTTAGCATTGATGATGAATGGCGCGGGCATTACTCATAGAATCAGAGCTTGAATTGAGTCGGTTGACTACCAATTTTGTGTTTCACAGTCGACAGTACATAGGTAGATACTGGTTTTCTAACTGTGGGGTATTATAACCGGATAACATTTACAATATTTTATGTTAGTTATATCAGCTGTTATCATGTCCACACCCTCTGTGGTGTAGTTGGTATCACACCGGACTGTAATATTTGCTGCCATCCGTTGGTCACCGGTTCGACTCCGGTCGGAGGGACATTATTTTTTCACACTTCACAAGGACTGTGATTTACATTTTATCAGGGTGCGTTTTGTTGTACCCAAAAACAAGGGGGTAGCCCTTTTGAGGCCGCGTTTGGTTCGCCAACGGCCGTTGCGATTTACTGGCAAATTGACCGTTTGGAAACGGTCGGGGGGGTGTTTGGTTTGGCACCGACCGTTTCATTTTCCCAGTCACAACCGTTTGCGACTGACAAGACGCGACACAACCACCAAAAAAAATGACGCTGGAAGAAGCCCTCGCACCACGCAAAAAAATACAACTAGAACGCCGTAAAAACACCGTTATTCTCGCCTTGTATGCGCATTTCTACCTTTTGAAGACGCCTGTCCGCACCTCCATTCGCACTGGAGAAATTTTCGCGCGCGAAATTCTCAATGCCCATCCACGCCGAGCCCTCGAAGTCCTCAGGATGCCCGTCAGCACTTTTTTAGATTTGCGTGACTGGCTGGAAGTAAATAACGGTTGCTCCATGGTCCGACCGTTTTGACTCCGTTTGCACCAAACGGCCGTTGGCGAACCAAACGCGTAAAAACAGGCTAAACACTTTGTTTTCGGTCAAACCAAACGCACCCTAAGGTGTCTCCAAATACATAAATACAGGTAGTCCCATGTTTTTATGTTTTCCATTCATGTTTGACCCTATATCCCTCGCCTGTGTTCTTATTCGCCCCGTCACAGGATGAAATCTTTTTATAGAATACCCATACATCAGTCACATCAAATGAAACTCTGCTACTCTAACAAGCTCATCTTTCAGGGCAGTGCAGTTTATTAATTGTTTTGAATATAAAGCAATGAGTGGGTCTTCTGTATGAATTTAAGATTGAGTTTCTGCTGCCTAAGTGAAGTTTTGCTCATAGCCTTGTAAACCCGCACTTAAAATGATCACGTGAATCAGCAAAATATTGTTAATTAAGGTAAATTCCAAATCTCAAAGTCATAAGTCCTTGGGCTATATCCTAAATCTCATCTATGATACCACGTGCTATCTGAAGGCCTTGTGATCAAGTTTTACGGATTTTTGTTTTCGATTCTAGCAAAAAAGGACTGCTCTTGAGATACACTCATACAGTTAACACTGAGGAGCGGATACCTAATCTTAAAGCTTGTACATTTGGGATGTTTAGAATTGAGAAGTCCTAGAGCAAAGGTGAGAATCCAACTGTTGTGAGGTTCAATATCGAAGCTGTCGTTGTAGTCTCTAATCCATAATTTAAAAACAAAAACCCAGGAGGAGACCGTCCATCTACATTCTTGAAGATAGGCCAATATTTGCTCTATGGTTTCTGTGGTAATATGGTCCGCTTACCACTGAGTCGGGAAAGAGGGAGTCAGGGCAAAAAAAAGAATGTCCCTCCGACCGGAGTCGAACCGGTGACCAACGGATGGCAGCAAATATTACAGTCCGGTGTGATACCAACTACACCACAGAGGGTGCGGACAATGACTGTAGGGTAATATATTGTTTATAACAATTAATAAGCGCATTAACATGCTGCGGGGGAACTCTAGTTCGCGCCTGAATTCTCCAGTTATACAATTCTGGGATATACCAAAACATGTAGGTTTTCCCAATACAAGTGAGTTATTCACGATTTCTTTTCAAATTGTCTCTTAATACCATTTAGCTTTATTTCATATTCAGAGTGATTTCTGCAAGTGCTTCATACCCTGAAACGACAGATTAAGCAATAAACAATGGATAAATCTATTAGCCTATCTAGATCATAGATAAGCCAACATCAGTTTTAAAGCGTGCCATTATCCCAATATCTTAGTGACTTGAACTTGCAAATCTTGCAATCTAATACCGACCTTCCGAGCACATGGCACACCTTAGTCATGAATCAAGTAATAATAACAGTAACACGAACAGCTTATTGATTAGCCATGAACTTGTATTCTTATTAATTGTTTAAACCCATATTCACGCGTTTGAACACCTTATTCGCGCAGATTGCCAGAAAACCGAAGAATTACAGGCAGACAAATCAAACTTAGACTCAGACCTCCCAACCTTGTAGCCAGTTTACCGGGTAAAATTGTAACCCAGGTAAACTGAACTGACAATTCACAGTTAGTTGGTGCAGTTCTGGTGTCCCGGATACACAGTTGGTTCATTTTTGAGGGGTCCGTAGAACCAGGTAACTGCAGTGCACTGATTAAACGGACTCGATAAATACAAACCAGTTTAACCGCATCGGGAACCAACGCATGCAGGAATTAATAATGTATTCAACCTCGTTTGAACCCATCGGTGGCCGAGCCTGCCGGTATTTCAACCCTCCTCATTTCACCAGCTTCTGGTAACCAGATTTCCCAACCTTTACAAAATGGCGTTGAACATGCTCTCAGTTTCCGCGATGACTGCCGAGTCTGAGCTGCTATTTTCCGAATGCAAGCGGATCGTTGTACCAGACCGCCATTGAATGCAATCAGATACTCTGGAGGCAATTGGGGGGCCCAAGAGCTGCAATCGTAAGCGTCAGCCGTGATTTTCGGGCACACAATTAGTATAAATTTTTGTTATTTACGCACTGAATAATATTTATTTCCCCTTCATAAACCAGTTCCTCTGGACAAAGCAGTTTTCGCAGTTTTAAACAGTCCACCTTGTTTGCCAAGCCTTGCATTCAGTTAACTTGTTTTCGCAGTTTACCCAGTTTATACTACTGACAGTAAAGTGAACTGGGTCGCCGTACAGTTCTCATATTCCAACAGTCCGTACAGTCCGTTTTGGTCGTCATTTTGAACTTGTTTGTACGAATGGGAGGTCTGCTTAGATTTCAAGAGGATTGTTACCAAAAATTGATTACAATCGCAATGGAGGACATGGAAGTAAAAAATTACTTACCAGTTCCCGAGAGTATCATGAGATGAAAATGATAGACGCTGCTCCTTCGAATGATAAGCATTTGTCTAATACTACTGGTGATATATGTCTGATAGAATATGGGGATGCGGTTTCTTAAACCAATCAAGCCATGAGTCGTCAAATTTATTTGTTGAATTATACGCTAAAGGAGCTCTAAAACGCTCATATGAGACATGAACTGTCAAATACAGGAACATATCAAGGGTCTAGATTACGGTAATCAACGGCTATCACTCGATAAGAAGCTCCTCACTTTCGAGATTACGAATATAAGCCGGAAAGTGCTAGAAGCGGGGGAAATAGTAGAGGAAGTACAGGGAAAATTAGTATTATTATTCTATCTTCACAAACATGCTAATATATAAAGAATGCTCGGTGAGTCGCCTTTAGGGAATCTGTAGACTGTAGTGTTGCATCGCTGATGAAGTTTAACTAACATGGCGTCTTTATGGTGTAGCTAATTGAAACACATATCAATTAACCTTGTACTCTAGCATCAAGTAAAATTCTTACACTTTGTTATTCCTCAAGTTTACAATGAAAAAAATCAGGGTTCAGCGTGTGATATAATGAGTGCGAAAAAAAAACAAGCAAAACATAATGACTGACCCCGACGCGATTTGAACGCGCAACCTTCTGGACTGGAATCAGATGCGCTACCCTTGCGCCACGGAGTCTTCTGATACATTGTTAGTAAAATGTAATCATGAATAAATTAAAATATCAAATCGATAATCAGATACGGAATGGATCCAGCTTACTGCCCGGTCCAGCGCTTATCTAACGATTGCATCTATTTCTCCGAAAGTCTTGAGATGGTATAGAGGTTGATGCTGATGCTTATTTTAGTGGTTTGATCTTACGTTCTCATGTACACGAATATGAAATGTAGTGAACGTTGATTTCATTATCATTTCTGTACTAGATTGCGGAAAAACGGCCACTCACGTTCAAATATGACCGCAACAGTGTCCGAGAAATCTATATGAATATAAAAAGCGCAAATCAAAATCTCTTAATCTTCGAGGCCTTTGCTTACGCGTTACTTGGGCCCTGGATTATGAAGTCTGCAACACACGCAGCGTGCGTGGATTAGTGTTACCTTGACAATATAAGCCACAGTATATTACAAGAATAATGATATTATGTAGGTTCTGTCACAATGCGGGGATCAATTGCATGGGTCTTACTGTGATATCAACCGGGGATTACTAGCTACTTAAATATCCTGTCTGTAGATCATCACCTGGTCAATTATTGATTTGTCTTCCTAAATAACGAAAAGTTTCAGCGCCTGTTCCAGCCTGTGTATTAAGGTTTTATTTACAGTGAAGTGGTTACTTATTTCACCGGGTATAATTCCATTCCAACACGCACACGCCTTCATTGCACGTATTAATGCAATGAAAACCCACGTGCTTCAGGCTATCTATAAATCACGAGCGAAGAATGTGGATTGAGTTGAAATCACATTTTAGCATAAGTGGACATACAGTCAATTCTGTACCGGTTATCCCGATCCTGATAGGCTAAATCGCCAGTGTATATACATTTAGTTCCAACCCCGAGCCATTGAGGCACCGGTGACGGCGGATTCTTCAGCTCCAACAAGCCTGGGAGTTTCTGCTTCACCGATCATCATCGTTTAGGCCATAATCAAGATATAGTCGCACAATACCGAAGCTACCCGCGATTCTTACTGGCTAGACCTAGAATAAACTGTCTCGGTGGGAATCCTGTCTACCCCACATTTTCGACCAGGCTTAGCGCTGCTGCATCCAACTCACACTAGCGGTGGAAATAAGGTGTGTCTTTGCTAGCTAGCAACCTGGTTCATGTCAAATTGAAGCGCAAGTTGTTCCATCCGAGTAGCCGCTTTAGGGGCATAGTGGGTTATGTGCACATGCAAACGAGACCCACAGAATGAAAGCTCTAGAACCTGGTTCATGAATGAGGGGTAAAAACGAAAGCCCCCACCGGGCAGAGAGTTAGCAAGGCAAGGAATTTATCTATGCCTCAGAATGACCATTTTGGAGGAGTTCTACAAGTTACCTTGCGTCGTGGTTGTGCTCTACTTGACCAGATACCATTGATGCACGAGTGATACCGCATGGAAAATGGGGTTCGGCCGCTAAAAAAGATACATCTCCAACCTTATCAGACTATAGAAAGATAAACATTTGAACTGATTAGTCGGGATTTGTGGATTTGGACCACTCCCTACGGTATTTCCTGATTTCTGGTCGGCAGGGGTTTCCGCAGAATCAACGCGGGAAGATCGGTACAATAAATATATTGGGACTTGGCGCTGAACTGTGTATTCTCCAATTCGGTTGATAAACCTTACATTTTATTCGCTTATTGACAACCGCATTTTTCTCAAACATAACGTGATGTACCTGCATAAATACGTTTCTCCAACTCGGCGCATCTGTTCCACATCTTATCCGCCTCTTATCCGCCTTTGAAGAATTCACGGTTAGTGATAATTGTCCCATTGTTGAGTCCTAAAAGACATATCATAACCAATTTCAACCAGGGAGCATTTGGATGACCACAGAAGAACATTCATAAAAAATTCTTGCAAAACTTATTTACTGATTTCTTCGTGAGCCAAATTATTACACTCCTGCATGATGGAATAAGTCCAGGCCATATAGTGTCTTCATATTTCGCAGTTATGTCTACCGAAATTCGTTAGAAGCGAGGTTAAAGTTAGAGCTCCATGAAGAATCCGCATGTTGTATACACCGGAAGCCCGATGCTCCCTTGAAGATACAGAATATCTAGGGTTGTCTTTCTGTGTTCCTGGCTTTTGGTTAGATATGAACCGATTGTCGATGGCCGATGAACTAGGATACATTATTTGCCTTCCTCAATCGGTAATATATCTTCGGTCCAGGTTTTATAGAACTGTTCATACCCAACAGACAGAGCGGGCCTTGGATATATCTAAAGTAGGATAATGGACCTGCAGGATTTACTGCTTCAACTGTGCGTTTATAGCCTGTCAAAATCGCCTGCATGCAGAAGTATCTCCCTGCAGTCACCGTGCGGCTAGTGCGGATCTAGACATGACACCCATGGTTTCCAGAATGATGGGATCTCGTATAGAAGCGGCAGATTTTGAAAAAAAAAAAATGCTTGTCTCGGTTGCGGCAGTGGCAACGGTAATGGATTTAGTGGCGTAGTGACAATCGCGAAGGTGGTGGTAGCTGAGTTGATGCTTTATCCGGGTCCCATGGTGGTGTTAAAGTTAGATGCCACTGTATCAACTTCAGTAAGACTTTCATAGAGTCCTTAAATTTGCCATATCCAAGTACCGCAAAGATATCATGCGGTAAATACCCCCTATCGACAATCGACATACATATTGGCCTTAGATCCAGCGGGTTTCTTTGGTGCCATAAATCCAACTTTAAAATAAAGCCCGATAACTAAAGCCGATCAGCGTTTATAATCTCCTTCATACAAATTGTAGCCCTATCAAAGGTAAAATTCGGTGTGAGAAGCACATCATTTTTAATACACGCGACAGTGGAGCAATGCTAATCGCCTGATAAAAATGAGTCGACGTAACCAACGCCAGCCGTGTCCCAACGGAAAGCTTCTTCATACCAGCCTTATTTCGGATGGCCATTGACCAGCATCGACTCATACATATTTGATACCATGACGGGTTTCTATTTTTTGTCTCTCTACGTAATGGTGGATCCGATATTGGCCTGTCGATAGTTCTATATCACTCAAAAGTGTTGGATGGATACCCCACCAGAGAAAAATCCTCGGTGTTCCTATGTATCCTCTTGCATAAACGATACTTTCCGCAAAACGACGAATCATGTTGCACGGATTATGAAAGAGGGAGGTTCGTTCAGGGCTAGGGTAATCCATTTATGGCGATCACTCGACTCTTGATCCGGCCTCAAACTTCGTACGACATAGGTGCACGTTTTCAAAAAGAAAGAAGCCACATGAAAATAATAAATCATGATTTACCACGGGCGAAATGTGTGGCATTCTTCTAGAAGCCCTCCTATTTCCTGGGGTTCCATTCTAGCTCCAAACATTCCCACCCACTCATTACTGAAACCGTCATTGAATTGACGATGCCACAGTATACTTAATACGTGCCGAAACATTCATCTTGACACGCACATAAGATGAGCTGATCCCAATCTCGTTGATATATATGTCATTAGGGCACTCGGCCTTGGGCTTATGATTGCCTACGCCCGGAAAGATACCAATACCAATCTATCAGCGGGACTGATAAGCCCTCCGAATCTTCCGAAGTCTTCAAAGTCTTCGATATGAGATGGTTAAACAAAGTAGCCTCCCCGGTTCGTGGTTATCTATTATATCCGAGTTAAAGTTGGAACCGGAAACTCGTGCCGGGAGCTCGTCATCCCGAATGTTCAATCATAACCGGGACCTGTCACGTTGAAAGCACACAACTCCTAGTTTCTGCACGATATTCCTAAAGAATATTTCAGGCCCGGCGTCCAACTTCGTTTAAGAAATTGTCTCCGTCGATAACCTTGGTCACACTTATCTCCTATACACATAGTTTCCCCGGATTTCCTCGACGAGATAAGATTTTGGCCTTCGGTCCGATACACAAGGTATGTAATAGTGCAGGATTGAGAAGTGGACATAGCGGTCTTCCGTCCGAAGGTGTCTGTACCAAAGCCGGTCTTGTGGCACACACCCAGATATGCAGTCTGTATGCAAAAGACCACAAGACAGCGTAAAAAAAAAACCAAAATCTCCCCGCAGACACCAGTATATCATCACACCCTCTTCCTAACATAAGCTACTTCCATGCAAGTGTCGGAGAACAAAGAAACCATTGTAGCAGGCGGGGTTGTGCGAGATGCACTCTGATTAACCCCACCTCCCCTGTAAACACGGGTAAATGAGGCACAATAACCAGCGCCATTGGCAATACTACCTAGATGGGGTAGGATATCAATAATCCTTTCTGAGTGGCATGGGGTATTGGAACAAGGTTTTCAAGTACCACTATAAATCATACTGTATCAAAGCTTGATATCACTTTGCTTGGCAATAATATCCACCAAACAGACAAAGTGGCTGAAGAATTTAGGGAGTTCCTGAAATATTTCCGAATACGCTCTCCGGGAAGCCCGAGGATTCAATTTTTGTGGATACTTGGACATCCTTCTCTTGCCTTGTGAGCGCCGTAAAGAAGTAATGTTCTAGATTTCTGCAACTAGAGGCAAATCGGGCATGCCGTGATATTTCGCATGATCCAACATTCCAAATATTCGAGCCATGCTAGATGTTAATTGGCTGCAAGAAAACAATCTACGAAACTTTTAGACCAAATCTGATTAATAAGTAGACGTGTGTGATCAATATATTCATCGGCAGGGTATATTCTAAACTGGATAGGAGTTAAGGGAATCGGTTTTCATGCCTGTAATTCAATGTCAGACTGTGCACAGACGCACATATGTATTGCCTAGCTGTGGCGACAAGCATATGATTGATACTTGCCGTACCTTGGTTCCCTAGTGTCTTTTGAAGCTTCCATAGGTGGTGGGGCGGGTATGTAGGTGATACTTCGCCAAATATGCAGAGAAACCATCACCAAGCCTAGCTAGCGGTGTGCAAAGATGGGGTATTTCTCAAAGGCCAAGAAATCCGAGGG